ACATCACAAGAATCTTAGCACAAGACACGTTCAAGTCCTTAAGCAAGTATAATAACCATTGCACTTCACATGCAACAGATGATAAAGCGCGGTATTCCGCTTCAAATGAGGATTTTGATATAGTGGGCTGTTTCTTTGCGCGCCAAGATATCAAGGATTTACCTAGAAAGAAACAATGACCAGAGATGGATCTTCGTGTATCCAAACATCCAGCACAGTCTGCATCTGAGTACCCAAGGAGCTGCAAATCAGAAGTTCTATCGAAGAAAATACCATAACCAGGATATTGCTTGAGATACCTTACCACTCTACAAGCTGCTTTATAATGAACTACAGTAGGTGAATGCATAAATTGGCTCAACTGTTGGGATGCAAAGGAGATGTCAGGCCTTGTTGTGTTCAAGTAGAGAATTTTGCCAACCAATCTTCTGTATGAGGAAACATCTTCAAGGGGAGCTGAATCATCATTGTACAGTTTGATGGAAGTGTCCAGAGGAGTGGAAGTTGGTTTGAAACCAAGCAGACCAGAATCATTAAGCAAGTCCAAGCAGTATTTTCTCTGGGAGATTGTGATTCCAGCCTTGGAATGAGCTACTTCTAATCCAAGAAAATACTTCAACTGGCCAAGATCTTTTATTTTGAAAGCAGCATCAAGAATAATTTTGATTCTCTCAAATTCCTTCAAAGAATTTCCTGCAAGGATCACATCGTCTACATATACTAAAAGGGCAGTGAAATAATTATCTTTGCACAAAGTGAAGAGAGAATAATCAGAAGTAGACTGAATATAGCCTTCCTTAAGAAGTAAGTGAGTCGACTTTTCATACCATTTCCTACTGGCTTGTTTGAGGCCATACAAGCTTTTCAGCAACTTGCAAACCTGATTTGGTTTTGTCACCTGTACTCCTTCAGGAACAGTCATATATACATCTTCTTGGAGATACCCATGGAGGAAAGCGTTATTCACATCTAATTGGTGAAGATGCCAATTTTGTATAGCTGCAATGGCAAGTAGGGTTCTGAATGTGGTCAGCTTTGCTACAGGCGAAAAAGTATCAAAGAAATCAAGTCCCTCCACTTGATTATAGCCTTTTGCGACAAGCCGTGCCTTATATCTCTCAATAGACCCATCTGATTTATATTTGATCTTGTATACCCACTTGTTGCCAATAGGCTTCACTCCTTGTGGAAGATCGATGAGAATCCAAGTCCCATTTTTGTGAAGAGAATCTAACTCAAGGTTCATAGCCTCTGACCAACAAGGTGAATTTGCTGCCTCTAAAAAGGATTGTGGCTCAGTAGTGTGTGTGAGAGACATACTAAATGCCTTGTGAGAAGGAGACAAAAGTGTAAGTGAATGAAATGAAGAAATGGGATATAAGCTACCTGAAGTGACAAGAGCAACTGAGGTACTTGATGGAAAATCACACACATAATCTGACAAATAGGAGGGAGGTTTCCTCTGCCTCACAGGGGTTGTTGGGCTAGCAGAAGAGGCATTAGGGAGATCCTTGGCACAGGGTATAGGAGAGGAAACAGAGGTTGAAGGGTCATGAATTGGAGTAGGTGTAGTAAGTTCAGTGGCAGTAGGATGAGGTAAGGTATGGGAGGCTTGGTTGGGTGAGTGTGGAGTATTTTGCTGAGGTGTAGGGTCTGACTCAGGATCTGAGGCACTGAATGGGTGATATTTCCATTGGTTGCTGGTATGAGGAGATTGATATGGCAGAACATGTTCATAAAATGTGGTATTTCTGGACAGGAAAATATTACTGTTTTGCAGATCATAAAGGATGGCTCCTTTTACTCCAGATTTGTAACCTAAAAACACACACTTCCTGGCTCTAGGATCTAACTTGGTTCTTCCAGAGGTCAGGGTTGAGGCATATACTAGAGATTCAAAAACTTTTAATTGTTGAAGGTCAGGATGTTGTTTGTGGAGTAAGAAATAGGGAGATTTATTCTGCAGAACAGGGATAGGGACTCTATTAATGATGAATACATCATGGGATACTGCATAACTCCAGAATTGTTTAGGTAGGTTGGATTGGAAAAGGAGGGCTCTGCCTACATTCAGGATATGTTGGTGTTTGCATTCAACTTTCCCATTTTGTTGGGGAGTTTCAACACAACTAGTGTGTTGAATGATCACTTTAGAGGTGTAAAAATCAGGCATGAGAAATTCTGGTCCATTATCAGTCCTTACAATCTTAACAAAATGGTTATGTTGAATTTCAATTTGCTTGATGAAATTTTTAACTTGTTCTCTTGTTTCACTTTTATGTTTCAACAAGATTATCCATGTATATCTAGTGTTATCATCCACAGCAGTTAAAAAATAACTATGATTGGAAACAAATGGAATTGAAATAGGGCCCCAAATATCAAAATGAATAAGGTCATAAGGATGTGAAGCTTTTCTTGTACTATGAGGAAAAGGAGACTTTCTATGTCTAGCAAAATGGCAGATATCACATGCTTCTTCTTTGTCACTAATGATGAAAGGAAATTGTTCTCTCAAAGTTAATAATCTAGAATGTGAGAGATGTCCTAATCTAAAATGCCACAAGGCACTATGTGGTATATGGATAGAGTTTATGCTTGAGGTAGGCTCCTTGTTTGTCAGGGTAAGATAATATAATCCATCAAGTCTCTCAGCTGAACCAATCATCCTCAAGGATTTCTGTTCCTGAATAAGACACTTCAAACCAACAAAAGACACCAAACAGTTCAAATTTTGACACAGTTCAGAAACAGAAATCAGATTTACAGTAAAATCAGGCACATATAAGACATTTAAAATGGTGAAACCAGGTGAAAAGGTAACATTGCCCATGATTTTTGTGACTGTATGCTGACCATTAGGCAAATTTATAATTATAGGAGTGATATCATTATAAGAATGAAACCAGTGCAATGATGAACATATGTGGTGACTGGCCCCTGAATCAATAATCCAAGAGCCAAGAGTTGTGTTGTGACTTGAGTAATGAAAACAAGACACAGTATAGACAGAAGAAATACCTGGATGATCAGCTGGTTTAAGACCAGATGAAGGAATTGAGCGAACCTGATTGGAAGCAACACTTCCAAATTACTGATTGAGGCTAGATCCTTGAATGAGATTGATGAGTTTCTCATATTGCTCATAAGTCAGAGAAGGAGCATCACTTTTGTTGTGACGTGCAATATCAGAAACAACAGAGGCACTCCCTTCAGTTGTTGTAGTGCCATTGGAAGCAGATCTCTGCAGATGAGGAGGCAAACCGTGTTTCTTGTAACAGGTTTCGATAGTGTGGCCAGATCTGTTACAATAGGTGCAGATGTGAGGTTTGGATTTTGTGAAGAATTTCCCGGTTTTCTGGGGAAATTTCTTGGCCTCAGAAGCATTAATGAGAACTTTGGAATCATCTGAAAGAGGAGGGGTGATTTGACGCTCATGTTGGAGAATCATGGAGAAAATTTTATTGATAGATGGAAACGGATCAAGGAGAAGGATCTGAGATTTCACAACTCCAAAGTTATCATTAAGACCAGTAATAAATCGCATTGAATGTAGGAGTTGATGATTACGGCGAGCGGTGCGCATGGCTTCGCACGCACATTTGACACGACAAGTACAAGTAGGAACTGGCATATAGATCTCAAGTTCTTCCCATAGGATTTTAAGTTCAGAGAAAAATTCGGTTACCGTGCGAGAGTCCTGCTTGAGGGAATAGATCTCTTGCTGCAGTTCAGAAACACGGACCAGATCGCCTTGTGAAAAACGTTCCTTCAAGTCGAGCCAAACGTCAGTTGCGTTTTCCATGAAAACAATGGATTGAGCTATGGAAGAATCCACTGAGTTCATGAGCCAGGAATGGATGAGCATATTGCAACGATTCCAAGGACGATACAAAGGATCAAAAGTATCTGTCGGCATCGGAATAGAGCCGTCAAGAAATTCAAACTTCATCTTAGCGCCAAGTGCACGACGCATAGATCTGGCCCACGAGTGGTAATTAGAACTAGTCAAAACAGGGGTGATGGAAACAGAGGATGGACCATCACCAGAATGGACGTAAAAAGGACTGGTTTGATCCAAGATTGGATCGGGAGGAAGCGGGGCCTGGCGTGGAGGCATGGTGAAACGATGAAGAAGAAGAAGGAATCCTAGATCGGAAAAGCGAATGATACCATATTAAGTAACAAAAGAGAGAAAAACTGAAATATAAATGAGATCTAAAAGTTATTCTCCATTGATTAATTATTGGAAGGTACATAGGATCCTTTATATAAGGGGATAGTCACACTTCTCTTACATCATTTTCTAACTAACTAAAAGATAAGATCAGAAAAACTACAAAATAAAGGAAAAGCTTTGAAAGTGTGATGTAGCTATCTCACGTGATAAGAAGCACACAACAAGGGAGGATGCAGATAGTTACTATAAAACTATACTATTATGGGCCATAAAGCCCACTTAGGATAACAATTTTGATACCCTTCAACCTAAAATCCTTTGAGTGAGAGAGAGAGAGAGAAGAAAGAAAATTGTTTTTGAGAAAAATCAAACGTTCCCTAAATACAAGTTATGAGGATGTAACCGCTATACAACATGGTGAGAAGATGAAAAAAATAGTTGTTTTGAAATCGTGAGAAGAGGAAAAAACGACTGTTTTAGATAGATTTTGATGAGCAACGAAAAGAAAAGACAGATTTGGACAGAAAATTTGCTCATCCCACCGAAAGCCACATGTCGGTTTTAGAAAAATTAGTAGAAAAAAGAATTGATTTTTAGATTATTTTTATATAATATTTTTTAGAATTTCACGAATATAAATACTAAAAACTACTTTTACTATAAATTAAAAAAAAAAACTAAAAACTCCATCAATATAACCTGCGGCATTGATATGTATATAGTATTAACTTTCCTAACACATATCATTGCATTTCCACTTTATTTAATTTGTATAAATTGATAGTGTGTTTAGGGCTTTCAAATTGGAATGCTAAAAAAATCAATTTTTCCACAAAGTTAAGTCCATAGTAGTTTCCCCATCAATCCAATTGAAGCCTCTCTGCAACGCCGGTGGTGTCATAACTAACCCTTCAGCCATACTGTTTATCAAACCCGGCATGTTGAAAACCTCTTCCTCGTCCCAAAACAACCTTCCACAATCTATAGACTCCGAACCATTCTCAGTTGTTTCAGCAAAGAATGGTTCAGAGCCCTCACAATATGAGAAGTGTTTCTCACCCGCTTTCATTGCGGCAAACTGAATGACCTAATAGAAGAAGTTTGTGAACTAAGACGCGGCAAAGAGGTGGCTGAGTTAGGGAAATTTAAGGAAGCAGCTTCACCTTTGAAAGCTAAAGCTGCAACATCATAAGCTTTAGCTGCCATGTCGGGGTGAGAAAATGTTCCAAGCCAAACACGACGAGTTTTGTTGTTAGGTTGTCGTAGCTCACACACCCATTTTCCGTTTCTTTGTCTTACTCCTTTGTATATAGGGTGTCGTCTCTCACGGAACTTCATCCTTTCATCTTTTCTTTTATTCATATTGTATGTGTCGTAGTATAATATGTATCAATATATTTATCGAGTAACCTTATATATATTGATACCTTATTAAATAAATAATACAACGTGACACATTAAAAATTTACCCTAAGGCGTGCGAGTGTGTCGCATGTAATTGTGAACGTATAAACGTGATTCTATTAAATAAGAAAATGGATTACAGAAGAAGTTAGTGACTATAACTATAAATGAGACACTTTTGTGTGACTATGATGTATATAGAGTGGGGAACATGAGAAAACTTGTGTGAAATGTTGTGTTGTTGCAACACTATTGATGCGTTAGGCAAAGTGACAAAACGTATAGTGACTTATAGCAGAAGAATATCGTGTGAAAAGCGTGTATAAAATGATTTGTTTTACTAATCGCGTTTTTAATATGTTGGAACCATAATATATGGTACACGTTGGTTAATATTTTCCTATAATTTTATGCTCCACATGGGTGGGCCTGAAAACTTTATTTAAAATTAAGGCACGTGGTGGGAAAATAGAGTGAACATAGATTATGCAATTTAACATATCATTGTTTTGTTTTATCTAACGTTCTTGTTATATTATGCTTATGTTTATTTAAGAATTTATCTTTAAAATTGTTTTAAAAGATATGTTTAATCAAGGGAGATAGATCCGGTGTGTAGGTGTTAAAAGAGAGTAATGAATAAATGAATAAAATGTTTGTTCAAGACAGTTGCGGAGCAGAAAAATTATGAAATCTGATCAAAATTTTAAAGATCGCAAATTTATATTTGATATAATATATAAATAGTCATCAATCAAAATAAAAGAGAAGTCCCATTTTATCAACAACAATATATTTCTCCAAAAATCTAAAATGAATCTTTACTGTAGGCGCCAAAGCTTTGGTTGGTTCGACTCTTACATATATGAACAAACAAAGTAAAATGGTTGAGCAAATATTGTAATCCAGAAGTATTCATATACTTAAAATAGACTGCAATATTGCAATATATACAATTTACGTTAAGATGATGCAGTAAAAAACAAATCATTCAGCCCTATATTGCTCCAATACTTTTATTAGAATTTCTTCTGGAAAATATTCTGAAATCGCAAGTTTCTAGCACTGTTTAATACAAAATATACACCTGCAGAATTATAAGCAGCAAATAGCAAACAACTGGTTTAAGCATCTCTTCATGCAAAATCTTATAAGACAACCAATTTGCTCAAAGTTACCTGTGCAGGCAGCACAAGACCAAGTTTGATAGGTACGTGAATGATAGAAACAATATTTAAAATCAATTAACCACTTCAAAATTCAAGTCACATCCAGAAGCAAGAATGTTGCAGATATGACACTTTTGCAAGTTTGTTGTCTTAAGTCGCATGAATGCATTACCTACAATGTCAGCAACAAAGTCGAGTTGTAACAAGCTAAGTCAACTTAAATTACCGAGTATTGAGCATCATAACTCGAAGGATTATTGAAATTCAAATCGCAATATTAAACTAAAAATGATCTAAACCATGATTTAACTAAGGATTTAAGTATTAGCAAAATGTATAATCCTGTTGAATGTATGAAAATTCTAATTGTAGTCAATAAATGCATTCTGCGTGAGGTGAAATGTTAATTGTTCATTTGGTACCGACATTAATAGTAAGTGCTATTACACCTACAATCATACCGCAAGAGAAATATAAACATTGCAAACTAAATAACTCCCATTATGATCTATCATCCATTAGAAACAATATTGGAACAAGGATACTTGGAGAGTTGGTATTTAAATGGGCAATCATCCCCTTTCATATAAGAGTGACGAGCAAAGTGAACACATACATGCAAAGTCAAAATCAATGCAGAGCTCCATAAATTTCTCTGGGTTTTGTCACAACTGAGGAGAAATAAGTGTGGACTTAAATTTACTTTCTTTTATAAAATGTCCAACTAACTTTTAATATAAATACAAAGTGATTTATATAGAGATCACAAGATAGAATATTAAATGTTACAGTATTAACTATTACTAGGTCCTTAAAGAATAAACTTCCCACTGTCTAAAGAGAATCTGTCTTTTGCACTACCCAATGCAGATTTGAATTTAACCAACAAAACTCTCCCATAAATTCAAATATTTCTTCGATCCATCTTGTCTAGCATTTTCTTGCCTCTGTCGAATAGCTCCTTCGACAATGATTTTGTATGAATGTTTGCTGCTTGATCCTTGCTTGCAACGTGCTTCAGTTCGATGCTTCCATTCTTCACATGTTCTCGAATAAAATAGAATCGAACATCAATGTGTTTGCTTCTTTCATGGTTGACTGGATTCTTCGCCAATTCGATTGCAGATTTGTTGTTGACTTGAATTATTATTCTATCTTTCTGCTTCGACTACATCCTGCTCAGCAATCATCTCAGCCATATTTCATGACATATGCACCAAGATGCTGCCACATACTCTGCTTCATAAGTCGAAAGAGTTATTATGGGTTGCTTCCTTGACAGTCAGGTGAATGCAGTGTTTCCCATGAAGAACACATATCCTGAAGTGCTTTTTCGATCATCTATGTCACCACACCAATCGCTGTCAGAGTAGCTAGTCAACTTGTATTCTTCTGCTTTTGAATAAAACATTCCAAGTGACACAGTTCCTTGGACATATCGAAAGATTCTCTTCAGAGCTTTCCATTGTGCAAAAACTGGTTCTTCCATGAAATGACTCACAATTCCAACACTCAGCGAAAGATCTGGCCTTGTGCATGTGAGGTATCGAAGACTTCCCACCAAGCTTCGAAATTTGTTTGCTTCGACACGCTCTCCCCATCAAATTTCGAAAGCTTTGCTCCTGGTTCCATTGGTGTCGAAATTGGATTGCAGCTTTCCATTTTAAATCTCTTCAGGATGTCTTTTGCATATTTTTCTCCTGAGATGAAGATTCTTGTCTCTTCTTGTCGAACCTCCAGACCAAGAAAGTATTTCACCAGGCCTAAGTCAGTCATCTCAAATTCTTGTGTCATTGTGCATTTGAATTCTTCTATCATCTGATTGTTGTTGCCCAAGAAAATTAAGTCATCTACATAGAGAGCAACAAACAATATTTTCTCTTTTTCCTTCTTCACATACAAAGCATGTTCGTAGGGACATTGCTGAAATCCATTTTCTTTGAAGTATATGTCAATTCGTGTATTCCATGCTCGTGGTGCCTCCTTCAGCCCATAAAGTGCCTTCTTTAGCTTTAGCACCTTTCCTTTATTTTCGACTTTAATGTATCCAGGTGGTTGTTCGACATAAACTTCTTCTTCAAGCACGTCATTCAAAAAAGCTGACTTGACATCCATCTGATATGTTTGCAATTTGTATTGAGCAACTTGAGATATGAGCAGTCGAATTGTCTCCATTCTCGAAACAGGTGCAAACACTTCATCATAGTCGATTCATGCTTTCTACTTGTATCCTTTCGCCTTGTATCTTTCGATTTCACCTTGTGCATTTATATTTTTCTTGAACACCCACTTTACACCAATTGTTTGACTTCCTTTTGGTAACTCTGCTAGTTCCCAAGTATCATTGCGTTCGATGGCCTTAATTTCTTCTTTCATAGCATCCTTCCAATTTTTATTTCTTACTGCTTCGTCGAAACTGACATCTTCAGTGTCTGCCAACAAACATACGAGATGCACTTCTTCTATGTTTTCATACAAGTATTGTAAACTTCGCAACCTGGGCTGTGAGAGTCCATCTTCATCATCAGAGTCTTCTGGTTTTGTCGAAGTGTTTTTCGATATAGCACCTGGTAATTCAACCATAACTTCAGTCAATTTGTTCCAGTCCCACTTGCTTCCTTCGTTTACTCGAACATCTCTACTCACTATCACCTTTTTTTTTTATTGGGTTGAAAAGTCTGTAACCTTTCGTTTTCTCATCATACCCAATAAGTATGTATTTCTGACTCTTATCTTCCAGCTTTGTTCTTCTTTGATCCGGTACATGTGCATAAGCCACACTTCCAAACACTTTGAAGTGAGACACATTTGGCTTTTGTCCACTCCAAGCTTCTTGAGGTGTTAAATCTCCCAACTTCGAATGTGGACATCTATTCTGAACGTAGATCACACATTGTACAACTTCTGCCTAAAATTCCTTCAACATGTTCTTGCTCTTAAGCATTGATCGAACCATGTCGAGGACTGTTCCATTCTTTCTTTCCGCCACACCATTTTGTTGAGGTGAGTATGCTGCAGTCAGAAATCTCCTTATGCCTCGCTCTTCACAGTACTTCATAAAGGTTGTCGAAGTATACTCCCCACCTCTTTCTGATCGAAGAGCATTGATGTGCTTGTTTGTTGCTTTCTCCACCATTATCTTAAACTTCTTGAATACTTCAAAGGCTTCTGACTTTTCTTTCAGAAAATAAACCCAAGTTTTCCTTGAGAAATCACCAATAAAGGATATAAAGTACCTTTTGCCACTGAAGGATTCTGGGGTAATTGGTCCACATATGTCAGTGTGAATCAATTCCAGAATTTATTTATCCTGATATTCTGTCTTCCTTTGAAATGAGGTTGCCAAACACACATTCTTCACAGGACATTCCTTCGAATTCTATGTCTGGCAGTCCATGCACCATATTTTTCTTTGCTAACCTCCTTAGTCCAGCCTGATGTAGATGACCAAAACTTAGATGCCACGGGGATGCTTGGTCTTCGACATTGACTTGAAAACACTTTTCTTGAATGCTTCTCAAATTCAACTTGTACATTCGATTTCTACCCATTTCGACTTGAGAAACTAGACGTCCTGACTTGTCTTTTAAGTGCAAGCTTCGATCTTCCATGAGTATCGAATAGCCCTTTTCTGTGAGTTGTCCCAGACTCAAAATATTTTCTTTGAGGTTTGGTACATAGTACACATCTTGGATTGATCCTATCAAATCATCCTTATGCAAGAAACTGATTGTTCCTTTTCCTTCGACCCTTACTTTCGATGCATATCCAAAGGAAACATGAGCATCC